TGCTTGAAGTTGAAGTTGCTGAACCCATCACACAGCCTGTCGTTGATGTTAAGCAGGAGCAAGAAAACACTAAGGATGTTGAGGCTACAGATTTAAGCAAAATAAATCAAACAGTAAATGCTTCTGAAGATTTCAAAGTGATCAGTGAGACAAAGAATGAGAATTTGGAAGGTGAAGACTTGAGCTTGGATGCTAAGAAATCAGCAAGAGAAGAGTTTGTGCCTGAAGTTGAAGTTGCTGAACATACCGAAGGGCCAGTAGTTGATATTAAGCAGGAGCAAGAAAAAACTATGGATGTTGAGGCAACAGTTTTAAGCGAACCAAATCTCAAAGTAAATGCTTCTGAAGACGTCAAAGTGATTGGCGAGATGAAGAATGAGAATTCGGAAGGTGCAGACTTGAGATTGGCTGAAACATCTCGAGACATCGACTTCGCTGGAGTCGAAAATAAGGCATCTGCTAAGAATCAAGAATGTGATCCTAAAGACTCTGAGACAGCAGCAAAGCCAGTAGTCAAGCAGACCCTTTTGGATAAATTTGTAGAAGAGAGTACAGAAGACAAAGAGAAAGAGAGTGTCAAAGTTTATGATCAAAGTCTAGCTGCTTCCACTAAAGATGATGATGGTGCTACAAAAACAGATGGGGCTCCTAAATCAGAAACACCTGCTAAGAAATCACAACGAAACATAATATCAAAGGTGAAGCAGTCGATTGTCAAGGTGAAGAAGGCGATCATTGGGAGATCGCCAAGTTCGAAGACCATGGCAGCTGCTGAAGGAATCGAAGACACAAAACAAAAGTAGATGGAGACTGGATGAACACGGTTGCATGGCTTTGAGTGTAATATGTTCATGTTTTCTGTTCTTGGTTGTTCTTTTGTGCTTCTGTGTTGTTTAAGCATGTTCGGCAACCTGCCTCCCAGAAATGTGCCTGATATTTGATGGCCTGTCATGAAGCTTGTGTATCTCTGCTTCTGCAGCTATCCAAATCCGAGGGAGAACTCATCGAAGCTGTTGGCCTCTGATCAGTAGCTGGGAAGAGTTCTTTGTGGTTTCCATTGGCTTCCTTGTCATTGATTTGTAATATTTTTGGAGGTGTTCATATTATTTACAAGACATTCTTTTGGTTGTGATATGCATAATCTTCTTCTACATCATTGTCAATCTCTGGAAACCAATTGTTCTACGAATCAAAACTTTAGCTTACGTTGGGTGGCTTCTTTCGCTATCAGACAGAGAATAACTTGGAAACATGAATGACCGACCGATAAAAGAAGACAACAACCCCAGTGATGCCGCAACCAAAATGGGATCCACAAGGAAGAGATTTGAGATCTTTGATGCCTTGTTTCTTTCTTCAGTCTACTTCACAGAGCAGAAGATATGCCAAGCCAAAACTAGAAGCAGCAGAGATCTGAATGAAATCAAAATGAAAGTCTCAAGAACACAAGCAAGAAGTGCTTGTTTTGGCCAACAAGATTGCTCCTTTTCCCGTTTATATCATTGCACCACAAACAAACTCAAATCCAGCATCTTTGGCACATGCAACCAGCTTACTCTAAATCACAGTCCACTACTTGAACAGAGCTCGTCTTACTCGTGAGGAGCTTGCAGATGAGTGTTTTGCTGATCTTACCACTCATTGCTTGGCTTCCCTACGGCTAGCAGTCTTGGAGACGAAAACAGTCATTATAAGAACAGAAATGAATGATTAATTGGAGGTGTAGCATTCTAGAACCAGTGCAGATACACAATTGACAACATGAGAGTGGGTCATAAATCTCCTTTGTGGATGAGGAGAAAGTTGTTGAGACGCGAAAATTCATTCTTTTTATGAGACACCGGGGACGAATACAGAAGCTCATGGTACGAGGATGACATGAAATCTGTGCCCAGAGGTGATGACCAGGAGAGAAGACTGATGACTAGCAACTGTTGATCATAAAGAAGCAGAATCTTTGAGAATCTTGATGCTTGTTCTTGATGGTTTAGCAAATGATCCACAAGCTAGTAGTTGGGTGGTGATCACAGTTCATAAAATTTGCCAGTGCTAAAACTCTTCTTCTCTCGAGCATCTGTCACCCAATGGTTTCAGTTGCTTTTCTTCTTCTTCTTCTTCATTCTGCTACTGTTTGTGGCTCAATCTTGCACCAACTTCATATCTTCCAACTATTAAAGACTCATCCATCCGGTTGTTCCATTGGATCAACTGAAACGAACTGTTTCTCCGGGGATAATCTCCATTGCAACTACTTCGAAAAGGTCAATCATGATTGTTATGTTTTCCTTCTTCAAATGAGAAAGGAAAAATATACCCCACAAACAATCAAGTAGGTGCTCCTATCTGGCTTTGTTGTGAAGCTAAGCATGTAAAGATGACATTGATTACTTTTGATTGCTCACTTCAGCTGCACTTTTTGGCAAAAAAAAGAGATCCAGAAACAACATCTCCAGACATCTTCCAGGGGATCAGCCCAGGGAACACAGTGAAGCACAGAGACAGAGAGGCCTCACCATGGACAGCATGCTTGCGTGGGGAACTCAAATGCATTCCTCTGAATCTTGACTCCTGAAAACAAATCACTGTTGAAGGAGAAAGGGACTTCCAAGAAGGGAGGTTAGACACCATTATTGTGATGAAAGACTTGGCCTGGAATCAACAGCTTGTATGCAAAGAAAGATGTGTGTCTTGAAAAGATGCTTAGTTGTTTTCTCCTTTTCATTGGGGTTCTCCAAAAGGTTGTAAAGATAAAATTAAAGAAGCCAGTGTATGGCACAATGGAGGCAATGTGATGAGCTGTTGGCATGGTGGCCTAAGGTGACTAGGACCAGATGCACTCCTTACAAGGCTCCCCTCAAGCCCACCTGATGATACACTTTCCCTACCTCCAAATTCTTGTGTTACCTCATCTGCTCACCTTTGGATGCAAATCAAGGTCCCAAGTGGGCCTAATAAAAGGGATAATTGAGTTGTTTAATCCACGGAAATTGGTCGATAAATCGGTCGTGGCACCGCGCAATTTGCCGTGCAGTTTAGACTGATCAAAAAATGATGGCAGATCAAAGAGGGACATGAGAAACACAGGCTTGTAGAGATCCAAAGCAGTGGTGGCATGATCAAGGGGATGCACACTTGAGTTGTCCACATGCATCTTGAACATGGACATTGGAATATGAAAAAGAAACCTAGAGGGAGCAAAACAAAGGAGAGGACATTACACCCACTTTCTTTCTTAACCTGTTACTGAATCATCCTTCAGTTTGCCATTTCTTTAGGAGCAAGATAAGCCAGGTGTTTCCTTGAATCAGCTGACTTCCCTACTTCATATGGTCTTAAATTTCCTTTGCATCAAAACCTCATGCTCAGTAGTAAATGGTTGATGGCTTCTTCCAGTCCTTCACCCTCTAGCCTTCAGCTGTTGTGTAGCTGGCCTCCAGTCTATTTGATTGTCCAGAACAAGAAGGGGAAGAGAGCATTCATGCAGGAGGCAAATTTGCCTCTGGAAGCCAATTTGGAGTCCAGCAAAGACATTTTCCTAGCACTGTCAATGTTTCCTTGAACTGAATATGACTTCTATAATTGTCTTCAACATTTGAATAGCTGGCCTCCAGACTGTTGCATTGTTCAAACTGGAAAGGATAAAAAGGAAAACCAAATCCAGTGCTCAATTCTGGAGATCTAAGCAAAGAAATTTCAGAGCACCACCAACTTCTAATCTTCCTTGCACCTGTGCAGAAGCCACATGTTAACTAACAACTAGAGAACTAATATTTCTTTTTCTTTTTACTGTTTCATACTATGAGTGCAGGATATACTTTTCCAGCTTGTTGGCTGGTCCAAGGTGTTGTCAACTTTTTCTTTCTTCTTCTAGTGTCTGGGGCTGTGGTTGATTGCATGTCCCCTTGAAGTAGCCCTCATGTCTTTCTTTTAGGAGGTTCATGCATTATCCTAAGCTACACAACCTTTTACCAAATCAAAGAAGGCCCTCAACGCTTGTTGTCTGTCCCAGACTTCAAGGCCAATTACACATCTTGTTCCTCCCCTTCTCCTCGCAGGCTAAGGTAGCCAATAGTTAACTCAACTAATCTTGGAGTCAGCTGCCTCCACTTTAATCGATTAGGACCATAAGCTAACACAATTAGCAGCAGTTGATGAGTAGTGAACTGGTTAATCTTGCAGTTGTTAGCCAAAGAGAGGAGAAGAAGTGCTGGCTGTGTGCACAACCAACTCTGCAACTCCAGGGAAATGAATTGTGCATGCAAGCTGAGCATATCAGCTTGGAAACATTCATACAAGTCCACGGAAAGCATTAATTGCTGGTACACTTGGGAAGATGTGAAAGCAAGAAGATATAACTTTTTTTGTAATTGACATGTGATTGTAGAACAAAAGAGGAGAATCCCAAGAAAGAAGGTGGTGGATTGTCTGCCCACTTCATGGAAATCTGCTTTCACTCAGCACATTAATTAGCTCGGAAACGTGCTGACATGAGACCATGCAATGCATTACTGTTGGTACAGTTAGGAAGTGAAGTATAAACAAGCAGATAGAAATTTTTATTGGCATATCACTGCAGAAGAAAATATGAGAAACACAGGAAGAAGGAAGGTGGTTGCTTGTCTGCCCACTGCAGGAAATTTGCTTTTGCTACTTCAATCTCGTGCCATTGAAGTCTTCTTGCACAGTCCTTTGAGATGATGGTCTGCAAAATATGCATTCATCTGAGCCAAACTGAGCATCCAAACACTAAACATGGATTGGATTGGAAAGAATGGTGGTTAAAGTGTCATGTTGAGTGGCAGTTGTTCTCTCTATCCAACGCATAAGAAATCTTGAAGGATGATCAACTCATCTGTTCTTCCGGCAGTCAAGTCAAGCCATAATGGTAGCTCAGCTCAAACTTCAGCAGGGTGTAGTGTTTCTCCTGTTTGATTTCTGAATCAGTCCAGTCCATATCTGAATCCTCTTTTCATGGTAATGTCATCAAGCCTCATGCTCAGAGTTGTTTCAGAGATTGCCAACCTTGGTCGACAACAACATCTCATGTCACTTCTGTGAACAGCATGTATCTGCTCTCTCTCTCTCTCTCTCTCTCTCTCTCAAGTCTTGGAGTCTTAAGACAAATCTAATTAATAACTTCAAAAAAGTTAACAGATCTTGAAATCAGATACAACCTTGAAAACTTTCTCCAATAAAGTTCAATCAGAGACAGCATCAGCCTCTTCAAAGCTTGCAGTGCAAACTGTGTTTCATGGTGTTCTCACTCGAGATTACCTGTGCAAGACAGACCAACCATAAGGACAAGCAGCCAAACCCTGGTAAGCTTTCACCACCACTGGCCAACCCAGGTTTCAGGCCTTCCCCTTCTGCTGCCACATGCCCATGCAGTTTCACCAATGGAAGTTAAAGAACCTAACAGTCTATTTCGGGGAAGCCCCCAATGCCATTCCTTTGTCTCCTAATTATATTCTTGCATTATAAATTGGAGACTCTTGGCTTTATCATTCCTATCTTTTGTGACCAACAAGCCAAACTGGTAGCTTCCCCTCCAGCATTACCCCTCTTGCATCCCACAGTTCCCATGGGAGACCAGAGTAATTCCCCTTCTTCCTCCATAGACAGCAGCAGCAGCCACCCTGCTCTCTGCTCTACATCTTCCATCTTCCAGACAAGGAGAGACCTACTGAGCACAGATCTAAAGCTAGGACTTGGCCTCTCAACTTCAGCTCTGCATGGTTGTTCTTCTAAAGAAAGGTATGCATCTTGTGAGACCACTATGGATGTTTCTCCTTCTTTGTAATCTTTCTTGCCTCCTCCTTTCCCCAACCCATACACTTGCATGAGCGCCAGCCGTCTTCGCTTCATGGTGACACGGGCCTAGCTGAGATCTTTAAGTTCCGTCTCTTCAGCTACAATTCTGAATTTTTGGACATATCCACGTCGTTTGTGTTTGAAAGCCTTCTAATTTTTCATCCTCCTCAATGTCTTTTATGTTCGATCAATCCAAATCCTTTTGCATATCCTCTGTTCTTTGGTGTTCCAGCTCCTTACAACAGTGTAACTTCAATTCTAATGCGTGGCTCCTGCCTTATCCATTTGATTGCATCGCACATTGTCTTCACCCAGTTTTAGTCGTCAAAATCCAATTTAGCTTTTGTTCTTGTTCAGATTACTGCTCTGTCGTTTCAATGTTCTTGTTTTGGTCATTAGGGAACAATTATCTCACTGGCCACCGATCAAACCACTTCTTAGGAGCACACTCGAGGAGAAAGTTCATCGAAGCCATTCGAAAACATTCTTCGTGAAGGTTTACATGGAGGGCCTTCCCATTGGCAGGAAGCTCGACTTGTTCTCACACAGTGGCTACGACAGCCTAACGAGGACACTTCGACGCATGTTTAGGACGACGATCATATGTAAGAACTTGATCTAGGCAGCAATGTTACTATGAACATCCTTGGAATTGCATGAAGCATTGATCATCATTCCAATGGTGTGGTGTGATCCAGGCCCTGATACTTCTCGAGTTCCTCCAGAGAAGGCTCATGTACTGACCTATGAAGACAAGGAAGGAGACTGGATGATGGTTGGAGATGTCCCATGGGAGTAAGATTCCTGTCAGCTTATTATCCTCATCGATGACCACCATCTCTTTTCTTTCCTTTGGCTTCTTCTAGATTTAGTGTTTGCTTGCTTGCTTCTTTTTACAGGTTGTTCTTGAGAACCGTCAAGAGATTGAAGATCACAAGGGCTGACAAGTGCTAGTGTTCATTTCCGAGCTCAATTTTTTTTGTATCTGGTTGCATGTAACATCAAAATTAGAACAACATGCAGCAAAATTAGCTAGTTTACTAGTTGGGTGTTCCCTCTCCTCTATTCATTGTTCTAAAAGAAAAAGGTATACACAATGCAATGGTTGTTTGCAGATGTACAGTCATACAAACAAATAATAATAATTGAAGTGGCTTCCTTGCTCTGATCTTCACAGGATATTTGCATGTTATTTTCTTTCATCAAAGATCCTAAGGTGGTGCTGTGTTCTGTCCCTTGTTTGCTTTTCTTCTTCAACCATTTCATCTTCAGTGCTTCCAATGGAAACCACACTTATCAGCTTCAGTAATGACAGTTCTCAGCAAACAAGTGATAAGGACATGAACTTTTTGAATGTTGTATCACAATGTTCAGGTGCTGGCAAGCAAACAAGCAGTGCAGCTTGAGATGAGCAAAGGAACAGTTCATCCACAGGTGATGAAGATGCTGAAGCAGCGACCGCTTGAGATAGTAAAAGAGTAAATGAATGCCTCACAATTAAGTAAAGCTAATGCATGGAAATCTTGAATCTTAATTCAAGGTCTAAGATTAGAGACACTTTTGTCGATGATGTTGGACTTTGGCCATGCCTTGCCTCTGATGGTTTAATGGGTCAAACCTTTCTCTCTAAGCATTTGAAGCATCATGTTGACTCTGAGGAAGAACACAGAGATGCTTCAAAGTTCAAGCCATGTGAAACACAGAGATTCATATTATTTAAATCCTTAGATTTAAATAATATGAATCATTATTTACCTCTATTATGTATTGGATAAACATTACTAGTAGTGTATTTTACCATGTTGAAACCTGCTATGCATCTAATTAAATAAGCACCATGAAGAGTAGTAACAATATAAATACATAATTTTATTTCTATCTGAATTGCATGTGGGATGAAGAAGATTTAGATGTTAACTTAGATTATGGTACCTCATCCCTCTCTTGTCCTTTGGATGTGCCATATCTGCAAATTAAACTTAAGGCAAGCACTAATACTTAGTATTGTTCCTGAAAATAAGAACAAAATATAATTATGATGAGCTATTTGTCTCCTTTTATACTTTCCAATAGTACTGAAAATATTTTCCATGTTCTACAGAAAAATAACAGCTAATTTTTATGCCTTCCACTGATCTAAGAATCAGTGGTACACAAACTGCAGAGGACTTTTCATATCTTCTATAGCATCATTACTCAAGGAAGGAGCTTGATGACAAGAGCTCTACTTCAGATGAAATGTGTTTCAGCTCAAGATCTACAGACTAGTCTGCCATATCTTTCTTCTCCAATTGCATTTGCCTGTGGATTTTCTCAATGTATTCTTTGGCCTTCCTGTCTATATCAGGCTCCGCATACCAGTGGCCATTGTCGTCCTCATCGCTTCGTCTATTCTTCCTTGGCCTCTGATGCCTTGGTTCAGCTTCTTCCTCTCCCTGGTAGGGTTTCCTGGTGAATCCAAAGAAAGCAAGCAATGATTTCCAACCTCCTCCCATCTCCCACCCACCTGTTTCATTAACTGTATCAGAACTACTTGCTTGTAGATGGAGTGGCACCAGAATTTATAGGCTAACATGAATGGAAACTTGGAAGCAACGTAACCTGTGCAGTATATTTTCCTGTTCTTTTCTTTGGCCAACATATATTGTTCTGCAAGAACCATGCAGTAACAGTGAAGCTGCAAGGAAACTTTCTGTAAACTCAGACTTGGATGTTGTACCTTTCAAAGCTTAAAAGGGGTCAAAGAAGAACTTTGCAGCTGGTCTATGACAGTCTGGTGCACCAAAGCAGTTAAATGATACAAGCAAACAGCATTGAGTTCCCTTAGCATTCAACCATGAAGTTGGTAGAAGTCCCCTTCCCTTGTTTGTACCATTCAGGACTCCCAAGTGTTAGGGATTATTCTTCAGCTCTTAATGCTCAAAAAGTGCCAAGCTACCAATGGACAAGGGATTCTCTAAAAGGAAAGTCTAAAGCTAATGGAAACTAAATTGAGATTTATCATTGTTTATTGGAAGATGCAAGATCTACAAACTCACATTGATGTAACCATGATGTGATTTGCATGTACCAGTAGATGTTTCTTCTTTCTCTTGTCCTATTTGCCTCTGTCTTTTCCTCTCTTTTATTTCTCTCTTTAACTTTTTCTTAAATATATTCACTGGAGATGTCTCAATTAAATAACAATTTGATAATCATGGCTTGGTAATCAAAACATAACAATTTGATGTGGCACAGTCATTTGCTGCAGCATGTGCTGTCTGTACCATAAGTTCTGGCTAATATTTCTCAAAAGATACAAGATGTTTATGCTTCTTACCAAAGAATTCACCCAATCCTTCAATAAGATGTTACTGTCTTACATCTTTATATATATGTATGTATATAAAGTAACAGATACATGAGAGAGGGAGACGACAAAATTGTTGAAGCCTTAAAAATTGTAACTGAAGCAGGAAGGAAAGATTATTAAGATGCAGCGCTCATGTGAAGCGCTACAAGGGAGGCGTAAGCTCCATCCTTGATTTTTATCAGCTTCTCGTGCTTCCCTTTCTCTATGATCACTCCATTCTTGACGACGGCAATCAAATCCGCACCCTTTATAGTAGATAACCTGTGAGCTACAACGACTGTGGTTCGATTGACCATAACACGATCTAGTGCATCCTGCACCACTCTTTCAGATTCAGCATCAAGTGCACTGGTTGCCTCATCCAGCAACAAAATCTTGGGCTCCTTCACAATGGCACGTGCAATTGCGACACGCTGCTTTTGGCCACCTGATAGCTGCACTCCCCGTTCTCCAACCAGTGTGTCATAGCCCTGCGATTCGAAGTATTTAGCCAAAATGATAATGGAAGCAAGGAAGACATGGTAAAATCTATTGGTCTCACGAATTAATAAGAGAACTAAGATGACCAAGGACATTAGGACAACACTTTTAGTACATTGCCATAATCTTGGGGAATCAGCTCCTCAGATTTCCCAGAACAAACAGGGTTTGACTTAAATTAGAAAGGCAAGTAAATAAAATTCTGGCCTGATATGCTAGAGGTGAAATTATCGACTAGAACCTATCGGGTCTAAGACCCAACTAAATGAACCTTTTGAAACAACTAGTTTGAGGGATGAAGAGAAGAGATTATTAGACTAGTAACAAATTGATTTCTATAGGTAATAAATTGTAATCTAACAAAAGTTCATATTCGGCATCTGACCTTCTGCAAACTGGAAATGAACTTGTGGGCATTTGATAACTCTGCAGCAGCTATGATCTCAGCTTCAGTAGCCTTTCCCTCCTTTCCGTAAGCAATGTTGGCACGAATTGTATCATTGAACAGAGCTGGTTCTTGGCTCACCAAACCCATTTGCTGCCTCAACCACCTCAGTTGTATCTTTTGTATTTCAATCCCATCCACCAATATCTCACCAGAATCAGGACTGTAAAATCTCTGCAACAACGATATGACAGTTGATTTCCCGCTACCACTCTCTCCAACAAGTGCAACTGTCTGTGAAGAGGAAAAGAATTTCATAAGATAGTGTCTTTATAAGGTCAGGTCTCACAATACTTTCAATACTTGATAAGAGTTTCATTAGTAAAAATTATTTTCACTTCTCAAAAATTCCTTTTGGTACAAACCAAAGATTGCTATTACTTCAGTAAAAAAAAAACTTCAGCAGAAAAAGTTAAACATTAATTATTACTTAATGCAATTTCCAGTAGCAACTATTTCATCTGGAAGTATATGAACTTGTTCTACTATGTCTTGGTCTAGCAATTTATCCAATGTCACATCAGTATGTTTGTGTGCTCAGGACACATATGCATCTACCAGTATTGGTTTACCTTTCCAGACTGGATTGTCAAGCACAGGTCTTGGAAAATCTGGATATCTGGCCGCGTAGGGTACTTGAAGTTGACATGTCGAAACTCAATGTTTCCCTTCAATCTTTCCAAGGTCATGCCAGATTCATCGCTTGGATCTATCTTAGATTTCTGGTCAAGAATTGCAAATACTGATGCCGAAGCTGATCTGGCTTTTGAAGAATCTGGTGCTAAGGAACTTGACTGAGAAATCCCAATGGCTGCCATTGCAAGAGCAAAGAAGACCTTCAAAGCAAATTAAGACCAACGATTAGGAGACTGAAAACAATGCAATTACAAAAAGTTTGATGTGTTCCACCAGCATCACAAGTACTGCAGACAACATGCAAAATTTATTATGGTTCGTATCAACAAGTTTTGGAACTTATCGATTTATTTTAAGATTTCATTGGATATTATGCAGTTCATAGGCAAAACCAGAACTAGTTCTCTCGCAAAAATTGTCTTTTAATTGGGGAACATGTTCTTTAACTAGTGATGTTTTAGAGTTAACAGATGCACTCATCTACGCATTCAGCTTTAAAGATTGTGAGTGTCTTCTGACAAGGTTCTCACTCTGATATCTTGTAGATGTGTTACGAGCTAAATTTTAAGCTTTCAGACATCAAACATGCAAGAAAAGTTCACTTTTTTTTTTTAACAAAATCTCGAGTAATAGAAGTTTCTTAGAATCACGTACCCGAAATACTTTGTCAAATGTAGCCTTCCCGCTCTCAACTAACCGTGCTCCAGCATAAAAGCTTGCCGCATAAACACAAAATAACAAGAAGAAGGAAATACCAAATCCAGCACCACTGATCAACCCTTGTCTAATTCCTTTCTTTGTGGGGCCTTCACATTTTTGCTTGTAGATTTCCATCACCTTCTCTTCAGCAGAGAATGAAGCAACTGTTCTGATGCTTCCAACTGCATCATTTGCAACTTGACTTGCTTCCTCATACATTATCTACAGCCATTTTAGTTGATAATCGTTAGAAAACATTAACATAGCAAATTTCTGGTTCTAACAAAAGAGAACTCTCCACGTTAGTAGAAAATATCAAACTTATTTTCCTAGAGAGAACAATTTTTTAGTTCAATTAAATATGTTCAAAATCGTATATGCCAAACAAGTTCATCCAGTTGGGTTTAAAAATATGTTTTCTACTAAAATAATTCAGCACAATACAAACGTTTATTTGTTTCAATGACGGAGTTAGAAGTACTATGTAATTAATTCTAGTCAATCTATAGAAAATACATAGAGAAAAGGTAAATCAATAGATGCAATCTACAGATAT